AATGTTTGGTATAAACTCAGAGATGAGATATTTTCCTGCAATAATAAGTATCCTATATGTTGACCCGGATAACCAGCTATCATCATACTAAATTTCATCAAAATCTGTCCAGTGGTTTTCTCGTGATGCGTTCCCTACCAGACAGACAGACAGACAGACGTACAAAAATTATAGATTCGGCCTCTGAATCGATAAATAATAATGACTATTTCAATAAGATTTTCCAAAAAATACTTAATGTACAGATTAGACTTAGTTAGACTTTTATTATATGTATAGAATATAATAATCTTTATTTTATTGGACCTGTACTGACTGGATAGGTGAAAGACAGGTTTCGAACAAACAGCGAATATAGGTGTCGCCATTTATTTGTCCAAGTTACATACATTCATACAGATATCCTCGCGGTATAGCTATAGAGAATAGAGTGCCAAGCGGTAATACATACTAAATAAATATATAATAAATAATAATAAATCATAATTCTCTACTTCATCTTCCACTAAACCGCAATACATATTTTTTACATTATTCTGTCCCTCATTCTGTCTGTGACTAATTATTACCTATTTATTCTAAGACATTAGCTCGATATTCTTTTCAACACTAGAAAATAACGTGGCTTTAAAGCATATTATAAGTTAATAGCAAATCACCCTCGCTTCACTCGGGTTCGTCCCTAGGTTGATTCCTCATACAAATTTTCATCCTCATTTTCACCCCCTTAAGGGATGATTTCCGGGATAAATCCTATATTCTTCCCAGAGTCTCAAACTATCTTCATTCTCATCTAAATCGCTTCAGTAGTTCCTTATAGAGATTACTTCCTACAAACAAACTTACAAACTTTACCTCTTTAGAACATTCTTTGTTTGTTAGATTGTAGGTTACAGTCTAGCAAAGAGACTAATTTAAGTATCATTTGTATCAAAACAAACAAAAACCTTACCCAACTATGTATACAATATGCAATTCTCCATACTAATCTAACGGAACATTATTTTATCGTTTCATAATCAGCTAAGCGCGCATACTCGTAAGTAAACTGCATTATGCATGCGTATCGAATACATCTCCCATCGTTGATACAGAATGCTGAAGGCGTGCATTTTTTGTTAAGTATGTATATATTCGATGTCGAAGGAAATAAGGTAGTGTGCTCATGCACCGACAATAATGTTAAAATAAAGGTTTAACTTATTATTTAGCAAAAGCTGGCACGATCTGATCGGTGGAACGAAAGAGGAAATGGATATAAGTGAACTTTGCTTAGAAAGTCTTTTCAGGTAACATCATAGCGGTCAATATTTTTATTTTTATAATTTATTTAAACTATATAAGTGTGTATTTAAACGGGGTGTTCTCCATGTTTTACTATTACTTCCATAATTACAATTTTTATATTATAATGAAAAGATACACTAAAGGAGGGTTGACGTCAGGCAGGCGGCCGGTCGTAAAACTTTTGCCAAATCCTATCAGCAGTACACTGAAGATGTACTGCGCCGACCCCAAGTGATTTGGGAAATGGGCAGGGAGAAGAAGAAGAAGAATGAAAAGATACACTAACTTCAAAATAACTTTAAAATATTGATTTCACCATAGTACTCGTACGTATGTATTTTTTCTTTGAAATTGGAGAATTCATGACCTTAGTCAATAAATATATCGCATAGCATAAACAAAAATATATAGCCGAATTGAGCACTTCCTCTTTTTTAAAAGTGGTGCAGAACTTACCTATGTGAAGCAGTACAAACAATACGTGCTTTAAATAAAAAAACCCAACGCTGAAAATTTAATTTAACAAGACAAAATTAAATAGAGCCACAAAATATTGCAGTGTATTAAAACCTCGATGACTCGTGGATCGTCTAACAATGATGGCGTCCAGCCAACTGAGTCGCTCGGACCACCGGTAACCAAAACGCATGAAGATCCACACGATTACCTTTCTTTTATTACTTCTACCTTTTATACCTTTTACAAAAGAAATGTAGATTTGAAAAATTCAAATTAAATCTATACTAATATTATAAAGAAGTAAAGTTTGTGAGTTTCTGACGTTATAGGGGGGTAATCTGCTGCGTCTACTGAACAGATTCAGATGAAAGGTAAGAAGATAGTTTGAGACCATGGGAAGGACATAGGAAGGACATACATATACTTTTTATCCCGGAAATCATCCCTTATGGGGGTGAAAATGGGGATGAAAGTTTGTATGGAGAATCAAGCTAGGGACGAAACAGAGCGAAGCGAGGGTGAGTCGCTAGTATACTATAAGTTCATATTTCCTTAGATTTACGCGAATATTTAACATTTTAAATAAAACTAATTTTTCGGATTTTTTCGTGTATTTATTTTGATTTTTAGTTCCCGACGCGGAATTTTCGAATGCTTTTAAATAACAACCGTGATTGCAGCACTGTAAAGCATTCGAACGTCGGGAACTAAACATCAAATTAGATCTGAAAAGATAGTTTTATTTAAATTATATACGATAAGTAACTTGTTTCTTACTTTTGGGTCAGAAAATTTAGATACAGATTTTCATTCCAGTAAGAAAACTAAAAACCAGCCATATTATTCACATGAATCTTAAGAATATGTTTTTATGACGGTGCCGTATGCCGGGACCTTTAACCTAGAACAAAAAAATATCTGCATAATTAACACGAAGATTCAACCTGTGCGGTATTCGAACTCGCTACCTCTGACAACGCTAAAGACAATAGATAATGGTAATAGACACGAGCACGATATTTTCGCATCTAGATTAAATTATTTTAATGCAGATAGATAAAATATTTCAATTATTATTTATAAGTTTGTTGGATTGAGTTTAAAGTGCAGTGAAAAAATTAACGATTATCCATATATTATTATTACTTTTGTGTTTTTCTGTGCGTTTGTGCGCGCTAATCTCAGAAACGGCCAACTCAATGGTAAGCTTCACTTAACATTTGGTATTTATTTTATTTTAATCACTTCATATATAAAAAAGTTAAGTATGTGAATTTAAAGAATCACCAAATAAATATGTTTAATTTAATTACTCATTTTATGTATTCGCCTTGACACTATTTTGTTAATCTTACGTCATTTTTATAATATACCAAGTTTATTTATTGTTTAATATATTGTCATTTTAATTAAATCAACAATGCTATTTATTACAAAAATTGTAGTTTTATAGACAATTAAAGTACTGTTATTCATTAAAATAGCATTTTTAATACCATTTTATTATTAGTATAAGATAAAATAACAACAATAATCATACAAAATAACAGTCCAAGGTCACGTATGTTCCTGCTACTGGTGAGTCAGTTATAAGGAAACAATGATAACTATTAACATTTTTTGTTTTGGATATTTTATAATAATATATGAAATAACTTTATATGCCGCTAGTAAAATTTAATACACTGACAACATAAAGTTAAGTAAATTTTATTGATGAACTTGAATGAGAAATATTTGTTCCCCTTTTATTCAGCCCTTTTTAATGTCCCACTACTGGGCACGAGCCTCCCTTCAATACGAGGGGGATCAGGCCATAGACCACCACACGGGCTAAGTGCAGGTTGGCAGACTTCACATGTCTTTTGAAAACTTACTAGGTTCTCTCAGACATGCGGGTTTCCTCACGATGTTTTCCTTCACCATAAAGCAAGTGGTAATACTAACTTTAGTATGTAATTTATTTATATTCTTATATATATTCACTTTATATAAATAAGACCTTTATGTTTATAGCTAATAGCTATATGAAAATATGTTACTTTATTGAAGCGTTCCATCTAGTAAGAGTTAAATTAGACTATTTAAAATATATGCAACAACTGATTAAAGCCAAGGTCCCTTATTAACCCCATTTTAGAATCAGAAATGTGACGCATAGATGACCAGCTTACTGTAATTTACTTGTTAATGCCTACCGGACAAAATAGCATTTATCCTGTTTATTACTGACCCAAAAGTAGATCATGACACAGACATTTTCAATATAGATGAACTCATATGGAAATTACAAGATTTATTCCTTATAAAAACATTATAGAATATGATATATCAATAAGCTAATGGATATTTGAAGGAAACTACTTTTACAATATAATTATTTAAGAAATCTATATTTACTAGTATATTTGATTTACTTTTTGTTGTTATACAGCACTGGGCAATGCATACTACAATTCATATTCTGAATGAGATTATATTACATCATGAAGAGAAGAAATTCATTCACAACCAAGTAGATAAAAGCAGGAAATGAAACATTGTATTATCTTAATGTTAGAGCATTCATGAAGAACAATGATTTGTGGGCCATTGATAAGATGTACAGGATATGTGGAGGAATAGGAAACGGATGTAATAATTGCATATAATATTGCAATAATGAAGAAGTCTATGTATTGTAAATTCTAAATTTTTAAAATATATATTTCTTTTAAGAAATCATTTAAGTAATACTTTTTAATAAATATTATATACATAATTTTATAATACAATATTTAGCCATATCATCACAATCTTTACATATTTTATTCATCATCAACTAATCATTCACATATTTTATCTTTTTCAATATCATAAAAATATAAGACAAAGCTTCAATTTTACTATTCATTTTCTTAGTATTATGACTCACATCGAATAGCGTAAGAAACACGAGTTTTCAATCATAGATATGAATGGGATCATTAATCCTCAGTTTTATATCCTGCATTGCCCAATTAATGGCCATAGACACGACTGGGTGTGTTCTTTCAATGCAGTGTAAACAATACTTCGAACGAGTGTAACACAACAAAACTAGTATGTAAACGTATAAAATTTGAAACGCTCATTTCGATTATTACCCTCGTAACTAATATAGAAGTTTAAACAAGAAAATTATATTGAGAAGCGTTAATAAGAATGTCGCATTCATCGTAAACAATATTGGCGTGTTTGTAAACAAAAGTGCCGGTAAAATTGTTTTTACATACCAATACTTTGATGAATCGGTTCTCCAATTCATCCCTGTCTGGCATGGGAGGCTTGGTGCGATTCCTGGTCGACGGCTGCCGTACATGGTTACTCTTGGTCGTCCCGACCGGTCCGTCTAGCATTGTCTGATCCCTCGACGTTATCAAGCCCATTTTTACACAACACACTTATTAGACACCATCCAACACATTACAATCGCCTCAGGTCATTTTTATCACAGAAAACAACACTTAACACGTTTACTTTTCAAGTCACATTCTATAACTTGCGAGATTTTAAACTCGAATTCATCAACAAACTGAAAAAACAGCCGCACCGCAGAAAAGCATAAAGCAAAGCAAGTCCTCAAATGAAATGCGGGCTGTGGTTAAGAAGTGAAGTTAGCGCCTTTTGTAAGCGGTGTGTCAGATAGTTGGCCAATAAGAATAAGTTACGTTCCATTACACACATTTGTCGCTTAAACGGATATTATGATATATTTTGTAAGTACCATGTATTATAAATAAAAATACTTGTTTTAAAAATAAAAATAATATTTATGAGTACCATAGATATAAGTTTGAGCCTTAGATGATCTTTGTAATTAAACTAAGGTTTGATATGTTCGAAGCAATTATTGTTAATACATAACCCGGCAATTTCCCGGGTATGTTGTTCCACCAATGTTACATGTCTTTATTTTTATATAAAAAAAATCGAGTAAAGGAAATATAAGATTAAATACCTATTACACAAATATTATACTTTTACTCTTCTTTATGTCTTATTAAACATATACACTAAAGTGCAGACAATATAACAAATTTTCAGTCCGGATGACACGACAGGCATGTCAAAGATATATTTAAGAGTAAGTGGTCGGAAACGAGTGGTATATATTGAAAATTTGATAATTTAATAAACGAAGTTTTAATTAATCTAATTGCATCTTGCTTAAAAAAGCATTTAAAATTTTGTTAAATGTTGTTTTTAATATTAAAATTTAGTAAAACTAGTTTTCATATTAATTCTTTGTAGGTTTAAATTATAAAAAATATCACTTACATGATATGTATATGGTAGGTATATACTTTTTGATTTTTTATATACTAGCAGAACCCGCGGCTTCGCTCACGCTAAAACTACAGAAAGATCTCTAAAAAGGTAGGTACCTAGGTTTCACACAAACTTTCATCTCCTATTTTGCCCCCTTATAGGATAAATTTCGAAAAATACTAAATAACGTATTCATTTGTATTGAAGAGCATTAATACCCAGTTTCAAGTAATTGTGATCAGAAATAAATTTTTAGATTGTATTACGTGTCTTCCTGTGCGAATTAGATGATCTCCCGCGATACAAAGTAGTCTATGTCACTCTCCAGCTGTCTTCACATCAAAAATCACTCCCAATCCGTCACTCCGTTTCGACGTGAAAGACAAACAAACAAACACACTTTCACATTTATAATATTCGTATGTATTCTTTTTTTACTTTAAACTCGACGTAATTGTACTAAATGTGAATATATTATTGAAAAAAACGTTTGTAAAAACAATTGGCTCGTGGTATATGCCAACTTTGACATGCCACTCGTGTCTTCCGTTTTAAATCGGTTATGTACTGAAATTATTTCAATGAATAACTTGGCAGTGATTAATTAAAGGAAAAGGAAAGAAAACAGGTAATTATTTTAATATAAAATATGGTAACGAAATAAAACAACAAATGTTTAATACATTTTATTTTATTGGTTTATGCATAGGTACAGAAAGCTGTATCGAGAATAACATTACCCCGCAGCCGATTAATAACAATATAAATATACACCAATCTTCTTGTTAGCACCATTTTTTTTATTATTTTTCTTTTTTTTAAAACGACTTGTCTAACCTAGTGTATATGAATGTATTAATGTAATATAAAAGAAATTGACGGTCTTTTGATAATATTTAATTGTAAACTAACGCTTAAATTAACTATTACTTTCATTTGATACATTAATCACACAACATTCTACAACTAACGTAACCATTTTTATAAGTTACATAATAAGATCTGAAAGGACAAACAAGCTGTTTTACTAATACTCGAGAGCTCTTAAGATGTACTCGGTTTAAGAAAGGACCCCATTTGCTATTATAAGCCTAGTATTTTTGGAGATAAAAAAATATTAATTTATAGCTAAGAGTAATAGCTTCTGATAATGGGGGTTTCCCTGTCAACAGTACCGAGAACATTCCAGTAGCAGTAACAATACAAAAGATAATTTGGTCCAGCTTCAACAACAAAAATCAATTTGAATCTGTTAAAACAAATCTCTTTGTGGAAACAGTCTTTGGTTAGGACAGAGAAGATTTAGAAAACTTACATTTATAAAATATCACAAGCATATACATATTCGCAAACTTCAGTCAAAATTATATTTTTGCTCATAAACATAATTAAAAAAAAACAACAAGCATTATGCAACTATGTGGAGTAGTACCTTATATTATTCTTATAATTAAGTTCATTACAACGAACTAATTTCAGAAGCGAAGGCAGCTGTAACCCCGCCCGCACACTGAGCGACCACGACTACGATTGCAACGACCACGACTGCGGCCTCAACGACCACGACTGTGATTGTAGCAACCCGCGGTTTACATTTATTGTTAGACCGCGACCAGCCTTAAGTGATGTGTGGTACAATTAATTATGCGTCCATAACATCACATCAGACGAAAAGTCGACATGAAAGACTCCTCTTCAGCAGATAGATGACATTATACTATTGTTTACGCTAGTAGAAATCGTAAAAAATATGTTCAAATGACATTCATATTATTGACGAAGCTTAACACGCATAAATGTGTATTTTCTATACTTTTTTTACATTTCTATTAGCATAAACGATTACATAATAAGAATTAAGACATGGTCGCGCGACAATCATTTTCTTGGGCGACCACAAACCAATGGTCAGGCGGAGTGAGTAAAGCGCTTAGCTAATGCCGTCTATTAGAGAAAAGATAGCAAACTAATACAAGCTGCGAAGACACGACAAAGCGTACAATGCACATAGTACTATGCGTGCAACGTAGAGTAACGTACACCGTACATTTGCCAACAACTACTTATATTACACGTACTCTTTAATACTTTTAGGCATATATCGCTCAATATAAAATACCTTAAATAAGTTTAAACTAACTCTATCTAATGTATTTTCACACAGTGTGTAAATAAGAGCAATAAAATATTTGATGCAAGTGAAAATACCCTGCCGATTTAAGGCACTCAATGAGCTTATGGCATACTTCGCCTACAAAACGTTACGAGTTATATTGACCTCCTCAAACTAACCAAACACTAACAAGACAAAAAACAATAGAATCCAAACACTCCATAGAAATGCTTTAACCTTTGTATAGGCACTAAATACTCATTCGTTCACTGCTACACTCACCCCTCCTCCTAAATTTAATCAAATTTGATATATAAAGAATTTCTATACTATATATAATATATAATACCATTAGGAACTTATAATTTCTACTATATAATATGAAATTATAATTTACGTATTGCGACAAATCCTTTGTCAATTTTCTACAAATTAATGTTCATAATACAGTCTGAAACTTGGTTATTGAGAGTATAGACCTTCTCAATTCATTTTAACAAAAGAGAAGTTTTATTTACAAATATTTAAAAAAAATGTACCGCAATTCTGACATTAGAAGTTAGTAAGTTACAAAATTCAAAGCAATTTTACTTGCGCGTATGCGTATTGATAAAAATATCATATTAAGGGCACTTGCACTTAACAAGAGTCTTAATACTAACATTACGTATAACGTAACTTAAAAACCTTCATTGATGTCAGAATTGTAGTCATTCTCACACACTTCTCCTACAAATGTTATGATAAAGTAATGCCATTATAATCATTATGTATATATAGTTTACTTATAGAGGATACTTTATATTTTTGGTCGACTCTAAAAACAAATGTATTTTTGTGTTTTGCATTAATGTTACATAATATATTTACCAATTATTAATTTGATACCTTCACCCATTAAAAATTATTAATTAATGTTATGTTATATTCTTTGCTTATAGACGTGCCATTTGGGCACAGTTTACTTCACCAATGTCGTATAGAATGGAGAAGATACGGTAGAGTTATTAATTAATTCACATTATTTTCAACGTATATGTCTCCCTTCAAGGATGCTGGCAAATAAATTAAATAAATTAGCCCTATAGATGGAAAAAACACTTTTTAATCATTTTGAAGTCGGTTTACATTTTTTATTTAAATAATTATTTATTCTACAAAGCAACTTATGCAAACTATACAATCAATTATGTGCGGCGTATAGATGGCGCTGTTAAAACATCGATACTTCTACTAACGACAGATATACAACGTCTAAGCTCTAAATAATGTAACTCTTCCTATTTAGTACAATAAAAAAATATATAATTAAATCATGATATATTTTATATAGAGACGTGTTAAAAATACAACAGTCAACTTATTAGCAACAAAATCTCAAATAACTATGAACATGTGTAATTTTAAGGCTAATTTATTAGGAGAAGGGGTGTAACACTAATGCAAACGCCCACCAATACCTTATAAGTAAACTATGACCAACAAAATTTATATCTCATAGAAAAGACCATGGCTGAGTGGACCATCCACCTACTCCTTCCTACCCTCGATCATTACCCAACTTAGAAAAGGGGGGGTAAGTTATTGAAAACCTAAAACACTGAAGACACGTCGTTACTGGTAACAGAATTACAACCCTTCAATAGGAGTAACGTAATTACCCTAAAACAAATCATCCCCCATCTATCTCGACTTAACAGATATAATAGTATAATATTTAACCAAATATATTCTATTTAAAGAGGATGTTGACATAATATGTACGTATCGTGCATTGCTGTGAGCCGTCGAGTACTTAGGTGCGAATTTAGTTTAATTTCGAATGGATTAAACCGATCCAGATTTTTACAGTTCCGTAGTAAGTAAGCTAGTAGGACACTAGTGTTGTGTCTGACATGCGAAGATAGAAGTAATTACTTGATGGAGTAGTCTAATATCAGACATAGAAAATAACTAAGCAGTTCCTCCTCACAGGGGGTTGATCTCTAGACCTGAGCCCTAACAATCTCGTGCTTGATATAGGGAAGGAAGCTAGATCTGCGTCCTGAATTAGTCTCGTTGTTATCGTAACCGCCGTGTTATAGTTAACAAGTAAACATGTCCTACTTGGAGGAAGGATAGTAGTACAGCACGGCGCAGCCCGGCAGCTGCCAGCGCGAAGCGTGCAGCTCGATGAGCTGCAGCAGCGTGCGGCGGATGGAGGGCGCGGCCGCCGAGTTGATGAAGGCGTCGCGCACCGCCGACAGCAGGCGCTCGAGGTCGCCCGGCAGCTGCGTCTCCAGGTCGCGCCCGATGTACGTCAGCACGAAGAACAGGTTCTCCGTCTGCAAGGATTTAATTGATGTAATCATACTTTCTCACGCCAATGCGAATATGTCACTTTTAAATAAAACTCGTTTTGAATTTTTTCGCAGATTTATACAGATAAACAACGTTTCCAATGCTTTAAAACAATAATGGTCACGAGAGAGATTTATGTTTTAGACATCTCTAAAGTTATTACATACTAGCGGCTGACCCTCGCTTCGCTCGGGTTCGTCCCTAGCTTGCTTCCCCATACAAACTTTCATCTCCATTCTCACCCCCTTAAGGGATGATTTCCGGGATAAAAACTACTCACTCCCTCACTCCCTCTTCATATCATGAGATTTAAAAAAATATTCTAGTAAAAAATATTTTAATTTCCTTCTATACAAAACTTGTCTAGACAGTAACAACAGAAAAAAATAAAGAATTATCCAATTTTGTGCAGTCGATCGGAAATTATGCGTGTTCATACGTTTCGGTGACTCATTTTTATTTATATAAATTTTTTACAGACGGCGTGACGGGACACCCCGTATTAACAGTGGTACTTTGAGAAGGTTTGAGTACTACTAGACAATAAATTAGTACTAGCGTCTCACTCTAGCCAAAAACAAAAACAAACCTAACCCACGGAAACCGTACATTTTTTCGGGATAAAAAGTAACCTATGCGCTATTCCAGACTATAATCTATCTATATGCCAAATTTCATCCAAATCCTCTCAGTCATTCTAGCGTGATTGAGTAACAAACATCAATCCATCCAAACTTTCGCATTTACAATAAATAGTAAGTAAGATTATTATCAAGGTGTAGTTTAAAGTGTGTAGGTCACTAACGTCGCTGGGCGAGGGCACCGGCTGGCGGATGCAGTCCTCGCAGCACTTGCAGATGAGCGCGAGCAGCACGTGTCCGGGCGCGCTGTGGCCGCGCCGCTGGATGGCGCGCCGCCGCAGCTGGCAGTACATCTCCAGCAGGAACGACAGGAACGCCATGAGGCGCGGCCGCCCGCCGCCCACTGTGGCGCCGAGCAGCTGTTGTCGTGAGAAACGAAAAAGAAAATTGTCACTATATAGTATAAAACAAAGTCGCTTTCCGCTGTCTGTCTGTCCCTATGTATGCTGACATCTTTAAAACTACGCAACGGATTGCGGATGCGGTTTTTTAATAGAGTGATTCAAAAGGAAGATTGATATGTATAATACATGTATATTATAGTACATAAAAGCCGAAAAATTCAAAGATTTGTATTTCATACTAACCGTTACAACGTACCTAGGGACGAACCCGAGCGGAGCGAGGCTGAGTCGCTAGTTAAGAATGATCATAAGTAGGACAGGTATCAATAAAAGTAGATATTTCTCTCATTGTAGCATTGGAATTTATTGTAATTCTATCATCAATTTCGGGGCCGCTCGCCACTTACTGTTACAGCTATGTATCGCTATATAATATCCAGCAGCACATAGCTACACTAAGTACCACCAAACTGCTATCTTGATCAAATATCTATACAGGTAAATAAAATTGAAGTGTCTGTTTGTAATGTCAAAATAACAGCGTTTTACTAAATGCATATGAAATTATATACGGTACTTATAAGAAAAACACAATATTTTAATTTTTTGTCGTCTGTCTGTTTGTTCCGAATAATCTCTGAACCAGCTGGCCTGATTTTGACGGGACCTTCACTGGAAGATAACTGATGTTATAGGAAGTAACATAAACTACTTTTATTTTAGAAAAAGAATTAGGGTTCCGTTAAAAAAATTAAAACGTATCTAGGGACGAACCCGAGCAAAACGATGTCGCATAAAATAATTTGAGCCATACGCAACGCAAAAGAGACCCACCTTATCCCTGTCGTGGTACCACTGCTGGCAGGTGTTGAGGAGCGACTCGAGGAAGGTCTCGGTCTGCTCGCGCTCGACCACGGCGATGCAGCGGCGCGCGGCCGGCAGTGCGTAGCGCGGGGACTCCACCGCGCGCGACACCAGGTGCCCCACCGCGTCCATCAGCGTGCGCGCGCACACAGCGTTCGGGTCTGCGGGTGGGGGTCAGCTCGTTATTGTAGACATAACTTTACTTCATTGTGGAGAATACATTATTAAAAAATAATAAAATAATATATTCCATACTTGAGAACTTTGAGTGATATTCTACATGAAACATATTTCATTTAGAACAGATACCTAATCAGATATTTTATAAAACACCCGTTTCGTAATTTTTACTTTTTAGTGTCTGGAAGTCTAAGGAGTCTAAGTCGAAGGAGGCGGTTTTTTTTAAGTTTTTTTGGGAAAACAAGTGAAGCGAGTTCATATCTCGGGTCTCTGATATTTTCTTGTGTGATTTTTTTCCAACATGATTACCACTTGCGTTACGTCAACGTGAAGAAAAACATCGTGAGGTAACCTGCATGTCGGAGAGAACTTAGTTCGAAAGACATGCTCAGTTCGCCAACCCGCACTTGGCCAGCGTGGTGGACTATGGTCTGATCCCCCTCGTATTGAAGGCAAGCCCGTGCCCAGTGGGACGTTAAATAAGGCTAAATACATTTTATAGAGCACGTAGCAGACACAAGTGCACTCACTATTTCCTCATTCGAATAGTGCTTTAGTATTATAAATGGACATTTCGACTAAGTGCATGAGCTACACGGCATGTACTTCGAAACTCACGAGGGTTGGAATATATCACCACCAATTTCTAACTCAGTAGCAGCTGAAGAATAACAAATGTAATTATACTTTCTACTTAACAAATCAGTTAAATATTTATTATCTTATTATCTTATGTATGGATAAAACTCAGACTAAGGAATAATACTCATTATAGACAAAGTCCCATAGAACTAATAGGTATAACAACATAAAGCCAAACAATATTTTTTTAAATGGTATTATTAAATAGAATACTCGTTATAATTTCTTAATATATATATTTTGACATTTTAAATAAAACTATCTTTTCGGATATCTGAAAGTCTCTCTCGTGACCACGATTGCTGTAGCGTTCGAAAGCGTTCGAAACGTCGGGAACTAAAAATCAAGATAAATCCGCGAAAAAATCCAAAACAAATAGTTTTATTTTAAAATGAATAACACCTATCGAAAATTTCCCTTGTCCTTTAAAAACGTACAAAACAGAGTAAACAATATGTATGGCAAAATCGACATTAGTAGCCTATACAGCAAATCATGCTATTATTTTTGACCTTGAATTTTTTTGGCAGACTCCGTCTATATATGGAATTTCTTAGTCTGAGAGATGTTTCATAATTAAACAAATACAACTCGAGCATATTTACAAGGCATTGTCATGTTCCCGAAAGTCAAACTGTATGTACAAAAACAAAGTTGTTGAAAATATTGAATATATATATACTTTATATAGTATTTAAATAAAAGATAACATGCAAGGAATTTAAGCATTTAGCAAGCGTAATTCGACAAAAGTGTATAGTAACGGAGCAACAGATTTGGACACTATTAAATTAATACTCGTGATACATTATATGTAAAGCCATTAATGTATCAACTTTAACTCTATATACATATTATGTAGGTTTCATGGTGAAAATGACCATAGGTTAATCAAACGATAACCGAATAAATTTCTAAATATTAAACCACATTGAATAAATTAGATTATAAACTAGCAAACCAAGTAAAAAATCCTATATTTATTTCTTATACAAGTGTATAATATGACAAAAACTCGTACCTTGAACTTTCACTAGAGTCTCTGTGTTCTTTCTCGACACTTTTGTCGCAAAAAACTCGCACTGCTTAACCAAAAAGAAAAATAGAAGCAAACGTGATTTACCCTTCGCAGACTAGCTTTTAGAACCGTACCATATCCCTCAAAGTGCTGGAGATGACATAAAAAAAATTAGTCTACACACCATTTTTCTCACCTTCCAGTGCCTTGTCTATACACTCTTGTATTTCTGGCGGAAAGTTTCCCAAGTCCCCTGCATCAGCTGCAAGACCTAGAGCGGCCATACCACTGGCTAGTGTGTCGGCTGATGTCAGAGACTTGGATCTTTTCAGTCCAGGTGTAAAGGATTGTGGTCTGACACTCTTGCCATTGCCGTTGGTTAAGGAGGATGGCGGCGATTTCTTCTTCTCTGATATCATTTGTTGAGGCTGGAGTTTGAAGGTTACCCGAGGTCCGACCTGGAAAATCGTTTTCATTTTATTAGAGAAAATGACGAATGATAATGTATACTTTATAAAATTGCCTTCCAATTAATTGCACCCATTTCCTCTAATTTTTTCTCTTAGTCCAAAGGTTAGAATGGAAGCGCTTAGCGATAAGACTGCCTATTGTACTATTACTACTTTATTTTCTTTATGTAAGGTAAACTTCTGGTGTGTAATAATATTTGTTATTATATTGAATTAATTAGTGAATAAAGATTTTTTTATAAGTGGTAAATCAAAAACTCCTTTCCGAACAAATAGAATAACTTGGAAGTAAACTAACCGTGGGCACGTTCCCACTGGACGCGCTCGTCAGAAGCGCGTGGGGCGGCATCACTGGGCGGTAGTGGGACGGCACTTGCGCGTGCAGGACCGCCGAGCGTGAGTGCTGGAGGCCCACGCTCGTGTATCCCATACCCACCGTTGACCTTAAAGATGTACGTAGCATGCTATTAATTTTTAAACTTAATTTGTAGTACATTAATATCTGCCTTCTGTAGACAAACAAAATATTTTTTATATGTATATTAAAAAAAATATTGTTTATCTGCTTTCTGTACATAAAAATACATAAGCTGACAGACTGATTCTATAACACCTTGCAATTGTTTTGACGAAATTATTGTGGAATGACCATGACAATTAAAAGTACAATAGAATTTCCATCCTTCATTCCATCCTACACAGTGTCAAGCCATATCCCGAATACAAGTCAATTCTGTACCAAAATTCATTGGTATCATCGATAACAAACGGAGTCCCAATTCGCATATGATGTACGTTAGTAGCATAAGTAGGATAATAATAATAATTAATGACATTAATCGTCATTATAACTCATTTACTGAATAATAATATTTTATTATTTATCCCACGTTTTAATCCTGTTATATTAACTTCGTAACTAGTATAACTACTATCAACTTTCCGGATATGTCGCGTTATTACCACTACGAATGGCAGACGAAATGATCCCCTCCCGACTCTACTGTTGAGTTTGTCGTGGACTCAAAATACGTGTACATCACGCTGCTATTATAATTGCGAATGTTCATATATGTGTGTGTGTGTGTGTGTGTTTGTACGTATATTTATTATTTCTTCGTGCGGAAACGACGAGAAGGATTGGGATGGAATTTAGAACATAGATAGACCTGGATTAACACAAGCTGTTAGGCATCAATCGACGCACCCGAGCAAAGCAAAGGTAGGTAGTTAATAGAAGAACTGTTCTATTATTACAAATTATTGAATAACTAGATCATTCATAGATATGCAGATAAATCTACAGATTTAAGTATAATGAAGACCGTAGGATCGTTTTACACTTGCAAAAAGTACATTTTTACGTACACACATTCAAGACGTAAGTAATAACATCTATACATATAATAAAATTGTAACCGAGCCGAATCTGTGCAATAAATATTTTTTGGGAAATCTTATTGAAATAAACATTACTATCGATACAGAGGCCGAATCTATAGTTTTTAGAATTTTTGTCTGTCTGTCTGTCTGTCTGTCTGTCTGTCTATCTGTCTGTTACCGCATCACGGAAAAACCACTGGAGGGATTTTGATGAAATTTGATATGGTGATAGCTGAAAATGATGAAATGATAGTTATTTGGGCCAACATATAGGATATTTTTTACTACGGGAAAATGTCTCATTTCTGAGAAATCTATACTAAACGTAACGTAAGTAGGGACGAACCAGAGCGTAGCGAGGGTGAGTCGCTTGTCTAATATAAATATAGAAACAAACACTTTTTTGCTTTATCATTGCATTTATAATCCAAGCTTACTAGACAGTAGACATCTCTCATGCCTCAGCTTGCTGTACATACTCGTAGATACGGATAGTTTAGTTATCTCGGCAGTCGGCTCAAAACAATAACAACAGTCTGCGATGACGGACAAAAACAAGAGGTATATTGAACCTTCATTATATTAAATATTTTCTGAAATATTAGAAATTCAAATCTTTGTTACAACATTTATATAACACTAGCGACTCACCCTCACTTCGCTCGGGTTCGTCCCTACCTACGTTTTAACATTTAGTATAGATTTCTCAGAGATGAGATATTATCCCGCAGTAAAATGTATCCTATATGTTGACGCGGATAACCAGCTGATATCATCATACCAAATTTCATCAAAATCCCTCCAGTGGTTTTTACGTGATGCGGCAACAGACAGAAACACAGACAGACAGACAAACAGACAAAAATTCTAAAAGCTATAGATTCGGCCTCTGTATCGATAATAATGTCTATCTATTTCAATGAGATTTTCCAAATAATATTTAATGTACAGATTCAGCTTAGTTACAATTTTATTATATGTATAGACTTGTGAAATTTGCTTGACGAAGTATGATGTTGCTATTTTATGAAAAAAAAAACAATTATCTAGGTGTGTTTTTTAGTTCTCACGCCCGTTTCTCTCGTTTCAAACAAGCATTGAATGTTATCTCGGACGGATTATGAGCGCGATAACAATCGCTAATTTAAGTTCGTTATGACAATTTTCATAGCACGTAGCTTTATTTACTTTACTTTTTCATTTATTTTAGAAGTATACTAATAGGCTATCTGTATGTACTCATGTCCTCCGTGTTACCTAAGAGAATGGGATTTATAATAAATAATAATTAATAGATACATTCGTAAATTTGTAAATTTTCAATACAGAGTTCTGCACTTCTGAAATCATTTAATAATGATAATTTTTATAGAAGCATGGCAACTAGCTGACCTGGCAAACGTTGTTCAGCCATATAAGTTATCAAAGAAATCTAACAGAATACTAAAATCGCGATCAAAAATGGGGTGTGATGGTAAGGTGTAAATACATACGTTACTACCTATTTTCATACCTACCAAATACACAATTTTTTTTATTAAAATCGGTCGAGCCGTTTCGGAGAAGTGCGACTACAAACCCCGTGACACGAGATATTTATACGTAGTATATTAGATACCATAACCACACGATTTTTGCACTATGTCACACTTAAGAACAAATATTTCAAATTATATTAGCGTTTACATCTTCTCATTTGTAACTATCTATACATTTGTAATATATATGTATACTACATATATAATATTATCTTTAAAGTTACGCCCAATGTATTTTGAACAAGTTCAATTAACATTAATTAACCAATCAACTGCCGGTGAATTTATCGCAACTATGTATGGTTCCTATTACACTATAGCAAACGTGAAGCTAGGCGGCTCGCTTGCCAACTGCTTGCAAGCTAATTATTTATTCGACATCGCCAATATATTAATACGGAAAACAATAGACTGTGACCTGCGTCCATTCGCCCTTTCGGCTGTAACAAATAATAAATCCTCGGACACTCCATGTTTATATTATCGCTAATGAAAATTCAATGAAGAACAATCTATTTAAGAATGTTACTCTATTATTGTAGGGTTTCTCTAAGATTGGATAATATACTCGTGTAACAACAGTAAATAACTCAGATTCTTGCTGTAAAATCTATGTCAAATATATATATTATAGTATTTCTTCCTTAGATGATTTCACTTTGCGTTGTTACCTACATTTTGCTTTAGTTGACGTATATATTATTATATATTCTTACTTTTTCAATATTTTGGATTTCAGCCTCTTGTATATATACGAGTACCTTTACTGCATACAAACTTTCTCCGTCAAAAATCAATTTCTTGTTTCGAATTTATATTTCGTTTATAACACAAATTTTAAGTTTGATTTTATATTTCCTAATAATATAAGTAGAATTATAGTTTAATAACTTCCAATTTTCTCCAAAAGTCGGGACCAAAAATGTAAAATGAAACCACGACGAAATCCAAAAAGATAGTTTAATTAAAAATTTTAGTACAAATGAATAAGGTATGCAATAGGTAATCAATTTTCAATACTTAAGTATACGCATCACGTAATATTGATTTTCCAGTTAAGGACATCAACTCGTACGTAAGCGACTCTATGCGGGTAGAGTCAAATGGATGTTCGGAAACGTCGAGTTCGACGATGATGAAATAATTCGTGCGGAACAACTGACGAATAAATTAAACACTCATGCATATACTTGTTAAAGCTATTGCTGCATAATAACACTAAATATTACCGAAATTTAAAACTAGACCAATGTAATATAACTGCTTTTTCATACCTTTGAACATACATCTATACATATAATAAAACTGTAGAAGTCGAATGTCTGTACATAGAAAAAAAATGCCAAAAAAAAGTCAGGGGGATGTAAGAAGAGAAATAGAACAAATCCAGATTTTTTCATTTTCTTTGTTTCTCTGTATGTACGGGTTACTCTCCGAAACTGTTGGACCGATTTAAATGAAATTTTGCATGGTGTACCTTATATCCCCGGTCAACATTTTAGATACTTTTCATCCCATAAGTTTGAAGAGTTCCCGTGGGATAGTTAAAAAAGTATAGTAATATATACAGCATAGTACACAAAAACTAGTGATTGGAATTTAATGAAACTTTACAATAATATAGTTCACATATCAGAACAACAAAGAGGCCTCTTTATCCCGGAAAAATTTACGGTTCCTGTGGGATAGATTTGTGTACGTTTGTCTAAATAAAAAAATATTTTAATATACAACAAACGGACGACATTCGCACTTTTTTATATTCATACTGACCATACAGTTATACCTACTTGCAGAATATTTATTTCGTGTATTGGAAAATTAAGTTAGAAAACCATTACTCAACCGATTCTAATGCGTCATACTACATAATCATTTAAAATATAGCCTTAAGTTTTCCGAAAATGAGGCAAAATATTATTTGGACAAAATGAATCGTTTAAAGGCCAGTAATGCAGTGAGTGACCTCTAGCAAGTGCCGCTGTGCAATGCGTGGTGAGGTGTGAAATGAGGACAAGTGGCTTGTCCTGTTTGCGGCTATCTATTGATACTTTGGACTTACCAAGTTAAGTACGATTAAACTGTACATAGAAATTGAAATATTAATTTAAAAAGTTTCTTGTACCGATGTATTATATGATAAAGTAGTTGAGCACAATATATGATATTTTGATTTTTGGTTGCCGAAGTTTCGAGTGCTTTACAGCAATCATGGTCACGAGAAAGACTAAGACGAAACATCAAGCAGTCAACCAAAATCTAAATAAATCCGAAAAATTCTTAGTTATACTAAACATAGTTTTATCTAAAATGTTAAATATTTGCGTAAATCTAATAAATTATTATGTGAACTAGTACGTACTGGAAACCGCAAACCAAATACCTACGCCAGTTAGAAGATCTAAAGACAAAGCGCGAGATATTTTAGTTTGTACGAATAATTAGCTTTAATACCTTGTATAGAATTATATGATCTGTGTTATTACGAAAAGTAAGTAATTTAGGTGTTTATGTATACAGCA